GGCCGTCTCCTGTACTACGTCTGCAGTCTCTGGCCGTCTCCTGTACTACGTCTGCAGTCTCTGGCCGTCTCCTGTACTACGTCTGCAGTCTCTGGCCGTCTCCTGTACTACGTCTGCAGTCTCTGGCCGTCTCCTGTACTACGTCTGCAGTCTCTGGCCGTCTCCTGTACTACGTCTGCAGTCTCTGGCCGTCTCCTGTACTACGTCTGCAGTCTCTGGCCGTCTCCTGTACTACGTCTGCAGTCTCTGGCCGTCTCCTGTACTACGTCTGCAGTCTCTGGCCGTCTCCTGTACTACGTCTGCAGTCTCTGGCCGTCTCCTGTACTACGTCTGCAGTCTCTGGCCGTCTCCTGTACTACGTCTGCAGTCTCTGGCCGTCTCCTGTACTACGTCTGCAGTCTCTGGCCGTCTCCTGTACTACGTCTGCAGTCTCTGGCCGTCTCCTGTACTACGTCTGCAGTCTCTGGCCGTCTCCTGTACTACGTCTGCAGTCTCTGGCCGTCTCCTGTACTACGTCTGCAGTCTCTGGCCGTCTCCTGTACTACGTCTGCAGTCTCTGGCCGTCTCCTGTACTACGTCTGCAGTCTCTGGCCGTCTCCTGTACTACGTCTGCAGTCTCTGGCCGTCTCCTGTACTACGTCTGCAGTCTCTGGCCGTCTCCTGTACTACGTCTGCAGTCTCTGGCCGTCTCCTGTACTACGTCTGCAGTCTCTGGCCGTCTCCTGTACTACGTCTGCAGTCTCTGGCCGTCTCCTGTACTACGTCTGCAGTCTCTGGCCGTCTCCTGTACTACGTCTGCAGTCTCTGGCCGTCTCCTGTACTACGTCTGCAGTCTCTGGCCGTCTCCTGTACTACGTCTGCAGTCTCTGGCCGTCTCCTGTACTACGTCTGCAGTCTCTGGCCGTCTCCTGTACTACGTCTGCAGTCTCTGGCCGTCTCCTGTACTACGTCTGCAGTCTCTGGCCGTCTCCTGTACTACGTCTGCAGTCTCTGGCCGTCTCCTGTACTACGTCTGCAGTCTGCAGTCTCTGGCCGTCTCCTGTACTACGTCTGCAGTCTCTGGCCGTCTCCTGTACTGTGTCCGCAGTCTCTGACCGTCTCCTGTACTGTGTCCGCAGTCTCTGACCGTCTCCTGTACTGTGTCCGCAGTCTCTGACCGTCTCCTGTACTGTGTCCGCAGTCTCTGACCGTCTCCTGTACTGTGTCCGCAGTCTCTGACCCTCTCCTGTACTGTGTCCGCAGTCTCTGACCCTCTCCTGTACTGTGTCGTATGTCTGCAGTCTCTGACCCTCTCCTGTACTGTCTATGTCTCTGACCCTCTCCTGTCTGCAGTCTCTGACCCTCTCCTGTAGTATGTCTGCAGTCTCTGACCCTCTCCTGTAGTATGTCTGCAGTCTCTGACCCTCTCCTGTAGTATGTCTGCAGTCTCTGACCCTCTCCTGTTGTATGCCTGCAGTCTCTGACCCTCTCCTGTTGTATGCCTGCAGTCTCTGACCCTCTCCTGTTCCGCAGTATGCCTGCAGTCTCTGACCCTCTCCTGTTGTATGCCTGCAGTCTCTGACCCTCTCCTGTTGTATGCCTGCAGTCTCTGACCCTCTCCTGTTGTATGCCTGCAGTCTCTGACCCTCTCCTGTTGTATGCCTGCAGTCTCTGACCCTCTCCTGTTGTATGCCTGCAGTCTCTGACCCTCTCCTGTTGTATGCCTGCAGTCTCTGACCCTCTCCTGTTGTATGCCTGCAGTCTCTGACCCTCTCCTGTTGTATGCCTGCAGTCTCTGACCCTCTCCTGTTGTATGCCTGCAGTCTCTGACCCTCTCCTGTTGTATGCCTGCAGTCTCTGACCCTCTCCTGTTGTATGCCTGCAGTCTCTGACCCTCTCCTGTTGTATGCCTGCAGTCTCTGACCCTCTCCTGTTGTATGCCTGCAGTCTCTGACCCTCTCCTGTTGTATGCCTGCAGTCTCTGACCCTCTCCTGTAGTATGTCTGCAGTCTCTGACCCTCTCCTGTAGTATGTCTGCAGTCTCTGACCCTCTCCTGTAGTATGTCTGCAGTCTCTGACCCTCTCCTGTAGTATGTCTGCAGTCTCTGACCCTCTCCTGTAGTATGCCTGCAGTCTCTGACCCTCTCCTGTTGTATGCCTGCAGTCTCTGACCCTCTCCTGTACTGTGTCGTATGTCTGCAGTCTCTGACCCTCTCCTGTAGTATGTCTGCAGTCTCTGACCCTCTCCTGTTGTATGCCTGCAGTCTCTGACCCTCTCCTGTTGTATGCCTGCAGTCTCTGACCCTCTCCTGTTGTATGCCTGCAGTCTCTGACCCTCTCCTGTTGTATGCCTGCAGTCTCTGACCCTCTCCTGTAGTATGTCTGCAGAGCTCGCTCGAAGTTCTTCGGTCCTGGTAGGCCTCTAGTATGGGCACTGTGTAAAGGCAGGATATCCCTTCCGTCATTTTATACGTTGACCTCATAGGATCCAGGATCCTGGATATCCCACCTGGGACACCTTTCCTCTTCTGTCCCTCTAACACTCGATGTCTTCTCCGCAGATCGGATGTTGTGGTTCTGTGCTTCTCATTGGCCAACCCGTACTCCCTGCGCCACGTCAAGACCATGTGGCTCCCGGAGATCAAACACTTCTGTCCTCGGACCCCGGTGGTGCTGGTCGGTCGGTGTCAGCTGGACCTGCGATACGCCGATCTGGACGCTGTGAACCGCGCACGTCGCCCCTTGGCTAAGTAAGTCACCCGTTCCTGTGTGTTGATGGGGTGTGCGTTCCAAATCTCTGTTTTCAGAACTTCTCCCTAGCAGACGGTTGGGCTGATGTCCCGTTGACAGGTCTCCCCTTTTAACATGGTTCCGGTACCAGTAGGATAAGCCAAGCACGGGTCTGAGAACTTGACAATCACTCTAATTTGTCTACATTTTCAGTGGCTTTAATAAGGACATCTAAGGCTTTAATCTGCCTACAGCCTGACAAAGGTGCAAGAAATGTTAAATACTGATTAGTACTGTTATTGTATCGGACAATTACAGCATTTAACATGAAAACGATCATCTTCAGGAATAATTATTAAAGAGCGCCTTCAGACCGCATGCAGTTACTTTGGGCTAGCTGACCTGATGATCACATGGGTGGTAACCCCTCTGGTTGCCTTCCAGTCCTCAGTGGGGACCTCAGCAGTAGGGAAGGACACTAGCAGATATTTCCCTCTACAGTCCCGGAATATTTATGTATTGCTGACAGTTTAGGTCCCTGCCCCCTTGGAGCTTATATCCTATGGTCCCCACCCTGGATACATACTTACCAGCATGTCTTTGGGGAAAGAAAACTACAGTACCTGGAGGGGAAACATACAAGCACAGGAAACCACGCAGACTCCATGCAGGTAGTGTCAAGAGTGACCCTAGTGCTGAAAAGCAGAAGTTCTAACCACTGTGCTGCCTGTTACTGAGAAACGCCTGATGTGTTAGGGGGTCACTTCCCCCAGAACAGTAATGGGAGAGGTAGTAGGGGGTCATCAGTAATGGGGAGGTAGTAGGGGGTCACTTCCCCCAGATCAGTAATGGGGAGGTAGTAGGGGGTCACATCCCCAAGAACAGTAATGGGGAGGTAGTAGGGGGTCACTTCCCCCAGATCAGTAATGGGGAGGTAGTAGGGGGTCACTTCCCCCAGAACAGTAATGGGGAGGCGATAGGGGGTCACTTCCCCCAGATCAGTAATGGGGAGCTAGTAGGGGGTCACTTCCCCCAGATCAGTAATGGGGAGGTAGTAGGGGGTCACATCCCCCAGAACAGTAATGGGGAGGTAGTAGGGGGGGTCACATCCCCCAGAACAGTAATGGGGAGGTAGTAGGGGGTCACTTCCCCCAGAACAGTAATGGGGGGGTAGTAGGGGGTCACTTCCCCAGAACAGTAATGGGGAGGTAGTAGGGGGGGTCACATCCCCCAGAACAGTAATGGGGAGGTAGTAGGGGGTCACTTCCCCCAGAACAGTAATGGGGAGGCGATAGGGGGTCACTTCCCCCAGAACAGTAATGGGGAGGCGATAGGGGGGTCACTTCCCCCAGATCAGTAATGGGAGGCGATAGGGGGTCACTTCCCCCAGATCAGTAATGGGGAGGTAGTAGGGGGTCACATCCCCCAGATCAGTAATGGGGAGTCAGTAGGGGGTCACATCCCCCAGAACAGTATTGGGGAGGCAGTAGGGGGTCACATCCCCCAGAACAGTATTGGGGAGGCAGTAGGGGGTCACATCCCCCAGGGTGACCACCCCAAATTCCTGTGTGCCACAATGCTTTTCTAACAGTAGCACTGAGATCTCTGGGCACTTCCACTTTCTTTGTCCCCGTTTTTGGCATACTCTAGTAGAGTCCATCGATCTTCTCCTCCCCCGTAACGACCGAAGTATTGTCTCTTCTTTGTGTTGCAGAGTCTGAAGCTCCTTCATGGTTTGATGGCGATCTTGCTTTGTCCCTTTTTCTAGGCCCATAAAACCCACAGATATCCTTTCTCCGGAGATCGGGCATGAAGTGGCCAAGGAGCTGGGGATCCCGTACTACGAGACCAGTGTGGTGGCCCAGTTCGGGGTAAAGGATGTCTTTGATAATGCCATCCGAGCTGCACTCATTTCCCGGAGGCACTTACAGTTTTGGAAATCCCACCTAAAGAAAGTCCAGCGCCCATTACTCCAAGCCCCGTTCCTACCTCCTAAGCCACCTCCCCCCATCATCCACTTGCCCGATCCTCCGCAGTGTAGCGGCCAGGGCCCTGCTGCTCTCTTCTCCACCCCTCTGTGTGCCGACGTGGCGTTCCAGCTGCAGGACGGGCAGAAGATATTTGCCCATAAAGTCTACTTGGCCACGGCCTGCTCCAAATTCTATGACCTCTTCACCTTGGAGTTGGCACCCATGGATGAGGAGGAGAAGCAGGAAACTTCCAAATATGACATCTTCAGGGTACCTGGTGGAGCCGGACCTTCCTGGACTAGGAGTATGATGGCTGACTGTAAACACGAGGCCTTAAATGGACAACTTGGAAACCCCCCATGTTCTTTCAGGACTTCTGAGGTTGATGTCACGCATGTGGGTGAGATACCTCCCCTTGGGTGGGGCCGGAAGCTGGAAGAGTGGGGTAGAGGGTTTATTGATGTACAAATGAACGTCGTCGAAGATCCTCTGACCCAGCGGGAGAGGCCGATGCTGGTGGTCCAGATGGATTCACTCATTCATGTGGAGCCGTTGCGAGCTGTTCTGGAGTACCTGTACACGGGGCACCTCAACCAGTGTAGGGCGGACCTCATGCAGATCGCTACCATAGCCGAAGCCCTAGAAGTGTTCGACCTGCGAATGATGGTGTCCAACCTGCTGAACAAAGAAGGTTTCATGAACCAGGAGATCACCAAAGCCTTTCATGTGCGGAGAGCCAACCGGATCAGAGAATGCCTGAACCGCGGCCTCTTCTCAGGTACTGTACGAAGGGGGTTGTAGCTCAGTCTTGGTCTCGTCTCTCCTGTAATATTCCACACACCCTCAAAGGCAGCCATCTTACTGGTAACAACGTAAATCGAATTTCAACAGGCGTGTCTCCATTTTTAGGTTCTGATATGTCACAAGTGTATGGGCCAACCATGTATGGTAGCTATGAATGTTGGGTGTGTCCCCAAGCCGAAGAAGGCTCCTGGCTGATGGCAAGGCTGGGGTCTACAAACCTTCTAGACTAAGGGACAGTTTTTCTGTTCTTCAGACTTTAGGGGGGGGCTGTGACCAGTGGGAGTAGAAAACGCCCCAGCATCATTGGGAATAAAGAAAAATACATAGCACCTGTGGTCAGAAGGAGGAGGATAGTGTGCTCCATCGTTGGTGTCAGTGGGAGGAACAGTGCCCCATCGTTGGTGTCAGTGGGAGGAACAGTGCCCCATCGTTGGTGTCAGTGGGAGGAAACAGTGCCCCATCGTTGGTGTCAGTGGGAGGAAACAGTGCCCCATCGTTGGTGTCAGTGGGAGGAACAGTGCCCCATCGTTGGTGTCAGTGTCAGTGGGAGGAACAGTGCCCCATCGTTGGTGTCAGTGGGAGGAACAGTGCCCCATCGTTGGTGTCAGTGGGAGGAACAGTGCTCCATCATTGGTGTCAGTGGGGGAAATAATGCTCCATCATTGGTGTCAGTGGGAGGAATAGTTCCCTATCATTGGTGTCAGTGGGGGAAATAATGCTCCATCATTGGTGTCAGTATGAGTAGTGTCCCAAGGTCCAATTAAAGGCAAGGACAGAGGCCGCATGAAGCCGCGGGCCACAGTTTGCAGACCACTGGCACAAGGTCACCTTTGATCAGGGTTTGGTGGAGTGCGCACTGTGTAGTACTTTGGGGAAGAGGAGGTTCCTGTAGCTGGTCTTTCCCATGAGTGCAGCCATGAGTCTTCCTCGTGCAATACAGTTTTTCTGCAGCCGGTACAGAACGGGTCCAGTTGATTGTGACCACCATCAGATAGATCTATCAGTGGTGCAGTGACACAAGGACCTGTAGCTACTTAGATCTGCCATGAGGTCCAGCGAGAGGTGGAACGTATCGGTGGACGTGCTGCCCAGTTCCTCTCATTATTTCCTCTGGAATCTCCACCCTCCTGATATCCTTCTTGGTCCTTCTCTCCCCCTCCATAGACGTGCTGTTTACAGTGGATGATGGTTCGGTTCCGGCCCACAAGCCTCTGCTGATTGCCAACTGTGACTGGATGGTGGCGTTGTTCCGAGGTTCCTTCCGAGAGAGCTTCACACCAGGGGTAAGTTTTTATGTTTGATGGTAGCGAGGAAAAAGCGCGTTCTACGGGAAAGGGCCATTGGATGGATGTGTGGAAGTGTATGAAAAGCGTATAAAGAATACTCTGTCCCTTGAGGGTTCTTGTGTGGAGTCCTCTGAGGGTTCTTGTGTGGAGTCCTCTGAGGGTTCTTGTGTGGAGTCCTCTGAGGGTTCTTGTGTGGAGTCCTCTGAGGGTTCTTGTGTGGAGTCCTCTGAGGGTTCTTGTGTGGAGTCCTCTGAGGGTTCTTGTGTGGAGTCCTCTGAGGGGTCACCTTAGATGTAGATGTCATATCTGTCCTGCTGTCCTTCACCACTTCCCCTCCGGAACAGTTCTTTAATTTTTTATTTTTTGGGCTTCAAAACTACTTTCGGAACCCCTGGAACGTTGTATATTTTCTGACCGCAGGCTTACCCAAAGGATATGGACCTCCTTAAATGAGAGGTCCTATAACTCCTGAGATTGGCAGATTCCAGTCACCGGCTCTATAGTGTCGCCAATCCCATCCACCATATACGTCACAGCCCGTTCAGGGGAGTACACATGAGATAAAGAAGAGCTGAAATGCTCCGCCCAGCATGACATCACTTCATCAAATGTTTGTAAATGATATAAAGCCGCACGTGAAATGTAAAAACAACCACAGCACTGTACAGAGAAAAGTCCTGGGAAGGTATGCAGATCATGTCCTGGTACGAAATGCGTGGTGACGTCACAGGCGTCGGATCCACAACAAGCGGTTTTGTCAGATATGACGTCATCGGGGGCTTGAGCTGTAATGAGCCGAATTTACTGTATTTTTTTTATTTATTTATTTTTTTTTAAATCAGTGTTTGGTGTCACTTTACCTGTAAATGAGACACCAAACAAATCGCCTCTCTCGCTCTGGTATGCGCAGCAATACCCTGCATGTGCTGTGCTAATGTTTACATACATGTAAGCACCCTATGTGTACACTTGCATTTTACATGAGTGTACTTGGGGTGATGAGGGGGTGGGGGGGGGGTATGCTTTGACTCTCTCTGAATTTATCGTTTTATTTTCATGTGCATTTTTACCTGCTTCCACAAAGAGGCCAAGAAGCCCCCTATGTGATGGCATCGGGCAGGAGACCGGTTCTCTTTATGGAGACATCAGATCCCTAATGTCTCCCCTGCCCTCTGCTCCAGATGACCGAGCCCAGCTCTGTGCTTGCTCCACTGTAAACCAGCTTTTTAGGTGGGATTTTGTGAACCTGAAAGTACTCAGGACTGAGCTCTTTTGGGTTCCCACCCTGCAGAGAAGATCGGGGAACAGATGACCCACAATCTCCTCAACAGTCACCAACCGCTGTTATTCTGGTCCTGGGAGTAGCAGGAGAGCCCAGGAACGCTAGAGCATGAGGATCCATTGAGGGAGGGGTGGAAAGGAGTGCAACCCGCTCTGCGGCTGCCCAGATCTTTTACTGAAAAGCCGGGGGCCAGCAAAACCAAATGAAAACAAGCTCGTGGCTGCTAATGCACATTGAGAGGCTCAGTGTGCCCTGAAATCGGAGTCAGCAGACTCGGTCCAGGAGAGGAGCCGTAAAACCGTTCAAGACGGATGTGAAGGCTGGAAGTCAGACTTAAAGAGCCTTTGGTGGTCTAAGACGGCGTAGCTGAGGATCAAGCTGACCAGAACTTCCACAGCCTTTATCTTTGATCGTATGTCTGATATCCATCTCACTGATGGAGGTCTTCATGACCGCTCAAGGACCCCTCCAGACTTATCTCCAGGGAAATAAATAGATGTAAAAGTGAGGAGTTTTCCGGGCCAGAAGTCCCATTAACGGGTTCATACAAAGTGTAACACCGCGATAAAAGTGGAACTTTGTAATCTTGTTGGAAGATCAGATGCGGGGAGTCTTGGTTTCCCTCAATGCAGATCAGTTTCCTCTCTGCTGTGTTGTGTCACAGGCAGAGAGAGTTCTATGACAGGAAAGTGTGTGTGGGAAGGGGGTGGGGGGGTTGTTTGTAGACCGGAGATCACCGTATGGACAGAGAGTGTTCTATGACAGAAAAGTGTGTGTGTGTGTGTGCGTGGTGGGGGGCTAGGGGGCGGACCGGAGATTACAGTATGGGCAGAGGGCATTCAATGAGGGTTAGGCTGAAGGTCATGGTATGGGCGAAGGGTGTTCTATGATGGAACAGTAGAAGGTGTAGGCTGGAGATCACGGTATGGATAGAGGGTGTACTCTGATGGAACAGTAGGAGGTGTAGGCTGGAGATCACAGTATGGACAGAGGGTGTTCTATGATGGGAACAGTAGGAGGTTTAGGCTGGAGATCATGGTATGGATAGAGGGTGTACTCTGATGGAACAGTAGGAGGTGTAGGCTGGAGATCACAGTATGGACAGAGGGTGTTCTATGATGGAACAGTAGGAGGTTTAGGCTGGAGATCATGGTATGGACAGAGGGTGTTCTATGATGGAACAGTAGGAGGTGTAGGCTGGAGATCACGGTATGGACAGAGGGTGTTCTATGATGGAACAGTAGGAGGTGTAGGCTGGAGATCACGGTATGGACAGAGGGTGTACTCTGATGGAACAGTAGGAGGTGTAGGCTGGAGATCACGGTATGGACAGAGGGTGTTCTATGATGGAACAGTAGGAGGTGTAGGCTGGAGATCACGGTATGGACAGAGGGTGTTCTATGATGGAACAGTAGGAGGTGTAGGCTGGAGATCACAGTATGGACAGAGGGTGTTCTATGATGGAACAGTAGGAGGTGTAGGCTGGAGATCATGGTATGGATAGAGGGTGTACTATGATGGAACAGTAGGAGGTGTAGGCTGGAGATCACGGTATGGGCAGAGGGTGTTCTATGATGGAACAGTAGGAGGTTTAGGCTGGAGATCATGGTATGGACAGAGGATGTACTCTGATGGAACAGTAGGAGGTGTAGGCTGGAGATCACGGTATGGACAGAGGGTGTTCTATGATGGAACAGTAGGAGGTGTAGGCTGGAGATCATGGTATGGACAGAGGGTGTTCTATGATGGAACAGTAGGAGGTGTAGGCTGGAGATCACGGTATGGACAGAGGGTGTTCTATGATGGAACAGTAGGAGGTGTAGGCTGGAGATCATGGTATGGATAGAGGGTGTACTCTGATGGAACAGTAGGAGATGTAGGCTGGAGATCACAGTATGGACAGAGGGTGTTCTATGATGGAACAGTAGGAGGTTTAGGCTGGAGATCATGGTATGGACAGAGGGTGTTCTATGATGGAACAGTAGGAGGTGTAGGCTGGAGATCACGGTATGGACAGAGGGTGTTCTATGATGGAGCAGTAGGAGGTGTAGGCTGGAGATCACGGTATGGACAGAGGGTGTTCTATGATGGAGCAGTAGGAGGTGTACGCTGGAGGTCACGGTATGGACAGAGGATGTACTCTGATGGAACAGTAGGAGGTGTAGTCTGGAGATCACGGTATGGACAGAGGGTGTTCTATGATGGAACAGTAGGAGGTGTAGGCTGGAGATCACGGTATGGACAGAGGGTGTTCTATGATGGAACAGTAGGAGGTGTAGGCTGGAGATCATGGTATGGATAGAGGATGTACTCTGGTGGAGCAGTAGGAGGTGTAGGCTGGAGATCACGGTATGGACAGAGGGTGTTCTATGATGGAACAGTAGGAGGTGTAGTCTGGAGATTACGGTATGGACAGAGGGTGTTCTATGATGGAACAGTAGGAGGTGTAGTCTGGAGATCACGGTATGGACAGAGGGTGTTCTATGATGGAGCAGTAGGAGGTGTAGTCTGGAGATCACGGTATGGACAGAGGGTGTTCTATGATGGTACAGTAGGAGGTGTAGTCTGGAGATCACGGTATGGACAGAGGGTGTTCTATGATGGAGCAGTAGGAGGTGTACGCTGGAGGTCACGGTATGGACAGAGGATGTACTCTGATGGAGCAGTAGGAGGTGTAGGCTGGAGGTCATACTGGAGATGTTGAATGATGAGCAGCTAATATTGGTGATTGTAATTCTTTGCTCTATTTTACAGGTCTCTTTGCCCGGCACTTCCACTTCCTGCCTGCGTGCCGTCCTGGAGTATCTCTACCTGGGCCACTTCTGTCCGGGGCCCCAACTTGGCTCTATGGAGCTCTTGGTGCTCAGCAACCGGCTGTGTCTTCCCCATTTACAGGCCCTGACTGGTGAGGTGATATCTTGGAATACTATAGACCTTTATAATAGAGACGTGGCCATGTACAATACAGTGCAGAGTATTCCTGGAGAGGAGAGTTAGAGGAAGAGGCGGAGTCCTTCAGCAGCACAGATGTCAGGAGGGAGGAGTTTCTCCTGTCCGTTTTTGAGATTCGGAAGGTGCTCCTGTGTGTGAGAGGGAAATGTGATGAAATCTTTCTCAGCCCTCCTGACTCCTTCCTGGGAAAGCCATGGAGGCCAGCGTGTCTTCTCCTGCGGGGAGCTCACAGCCATCCCCTGGGCTGCCGGGTGACATGCCTGCCTCAGTACAAGCCGGGGCTGGTGGTCTATCTGCCCCGGGGGAGGAAGAAGGTGTGGAGTCACTGTATGCTATCTGTGGTCTTGAATGCTTTAGACTCCCCTCAGAGGGGCAAGGACATCTGGAGATTGAATTGTACTCTTCTCGACAAACAACATGTTAGACAATCTTTTGAGGAAGTCTTTCAGGCTCAGGTGACCATCCTGGACTTTTGTAGCAGCAAGGCTGAGTGGTGGGAGCTGACCAAAAAGAGGATCGCTGGACTCTTCCAGGACCTAGCCAATAGAAAGCAGTTTGATAGATACATGACCTACCAAAGGTTGTGGAGGAAGCTGGATATTCTTGGCTCGAGAAGAGGAGACCCTGAGGCGATCTCTGAGGTGAAACTCCTCCTCGGGAAGTGTCAATATGACCGGCATGCCTCTTTGGTTCTGGAGAGGGACTATGGGAAGTACCACTTGCTCGACCCTTACCAGAACTGCAAACAAGGTGTAGCAGGTAAGACGGTCGTTGGCCTTGAGGATAGTACAGGTTCCTTGACAAAGTCCAGGTCAGGGATCCTGGAGGTCGTGGGGTCCTTTTATGCTGAACTTCTTGAGAGGAAAGAACTTGATCGAGGCAAGATGGACTCTACTCCAGGCCTAAATGGTGGAGATGTTCCATTGATGACAGAGGAAATCACAGCTGAAGAGGTGTAATGCTCTGCAGCCCTCTGTGTATGTTGGTGTGGGGGGTGTTGTGTCCCAGTCGGCTGTGTTGGGGGTGTAATGCTCTGCGGGGCTGTGTTGGGGGTGTAATGCTCTCTGCGGGGCTGTGTGGGGGGTGTAATGCTCTGCAGCCCTCTGTATGTTGGCGTGGGGGGTGTTGTGTCCCAGTTGGCTGTGTTGGGGGTGTAATGCTCTGCAGGGCTCTGTGTATGTTGGTGTGGGGGGTGTTGTGTCCCAGCTGGCTGTGTTGGGGGTGTAATGCTCTGCGGGGCTTTGTGTATGTTGGTGTGGGGGTGTTGTGTCCCAGTCAGCTGTGTGGGGGGTGTAATGCTCTGCGGGGCTTTGTGTATGTTGGTGTGGGGGGGTGTTGTGTCCCAGTCAGCTGTGTGGGGGGTGTAATGCTCTGCGGGCTCTGTGTATGTTGGTGTGGGGGGTGTTGTGTCCCAGTTGGCTGTGTGGGGGGGGTGTAATGCTCTGCAGCCCTCTGTATGTTGGTGTGGGGGGTGTTGTGTCCCAGTCAGCTGTGTTGGGGGTGTAATGCTCTGCAGCCCTCTGTATGTTGGTGTGGGGGGGTGTTGTGTCCCAGCTGGCTGTGTGGGGGGTGTAATGCTCTGCGGGGCTCTGTGTATGTTGGTGTGGGGGGTGTTGTGTCCCAGTCGGCTGTGTGGGGGGTGTAATGCTCTGCGGGGCTGTGTGGGGGGTGTAATGCTCTGCATCCCTCTGTATGTTGGCGTGGGGGGTGTTGTGTCCCAGCTGGCTGTGTCCTCTATGGATTATCTATACGACCTCCAGACACGTCCTGAGCAATCAATACTTTCCAGCGACGTTTGCCGAGTGGCTCCTCCCACATGGTGATGTCATACACGTGGTTGCCAGCAGATTGATTGCCGTTTTCACAATACTGTTCCTTCCAGCTGCTCTGTAATGTCTGCAGTAGAAGTCGGCCATGTTTTTCCCATCATTCCCTGGGGCGTGACGTGTCTTTTCTCTGTTCTAGAACAACACACGGTGGACGAGCTCCTGGCCTGCTATGTGCAGGGGATGGATATAGACGGACAGGTCCTCCTCTACCTGGAGATCGCTCAGGTCAGTGTCATCCTCTGGTCCTCCTCTGTCCTCGCCTCCTCCTCCTCTGCCCTCTCCTCCTCCTCCTCTGTCCTCGCCTCCTCCTCCTCCTCTGTCCTCGCCTCCTCCTCCTCCTCTGTCCTCGCCTCCTCCTCCTCCTCTGTCCTCGCCTCCTCCTCCTCCTCTGTCCTCGCCTCCTCCTCCCTCCTCTGTCCTCGCCTCCTCCTCCTCCTCTGTCCTCGCCTCCTCCTCCTCTGTCCTCGCCTCCTCCTCCTCTGTCCTCGCCGCCTCCTCCTCCTCCTCTGTCCTCACCTCCTCCTCCTCTCTGTCCTCGCCTCCTCCTCCTCCTCCTCTGTCCTCGCCTCCTCGGATTGGATCTTTATATAATGTCAGATGAAATGCTCTGCAGAGCCCTGCCATTGGCTACACTAACATACGATCTCTGCAACTCCTTAGTGTAATGGTCGGCGGGAGGGGCGTGGTCGGCGGGAGGGGCGTGGTCGGCGGGAGGGGCGTGGTCGGCGGGAGGGGCGTGGTCGGCGGGAGGAGCGTGGTCAGTGGGAGGAGTGTGGTCAGTGGTAATCATTGGGGCGATTTCCCAGTCCAGATAGAATAACAGATCAGTGGTGTCAATAGGAACTTATCTGAGAACCAGAAATTTCTCGTCATTCGATGAACCCCCAGCAACCTCTGGAGGAAGCCTGGCTGGGGAACCCTGCCCTACGACATGGTAGCTTCCCCTATGAGGGTGAAATGGTGCTATTGCACAGGGTGCCCCCTGACCTTTTATTCAGCGGTCCCCTGTTGGCGCTGTCTTCTTCTATGTCTGCCCCCATAACAAGCCGCCTACTGTTGGGGCCCACGTGCGGGGGGGTGCTCCCAAGCCAGGCTGTGTGCATCTATACACAGAATTCTGTCAAAGTGAGCTGCAGATTATAAGAATTCCAGAACAGGAGAGCGAGAGGAGAGGAGTTTAGAATAGTACAGAGAAATCCCTGGGAGGGGAGGAGTCTATAGAATAGTACAGAGAAGTCTCGGGGAGGGGAGGGAGTCTATAGAATAGTACAGAGAAGTCTCGGGGAGGGGAGGAACTATAGAATAGTACAGAGAAGTCTCGGGGAGGGGAGGAGTCTATAGAATAGTACAGAGAAGTCTTGGGGAGGGGAGGAGTCTATAGAATAGTACAGAGAAGTCTCGGGGAGGGGAGGAGTCTATAGAATAGTACAGAGAAGTCTCGGGGAGGGGAGGAGTCTATAGAATAGTACAGAGAAGTCTCGGGGAGGGGAGGAGTCTATAGAATAGTACAGAGAAGTCTCGGGGAGGGGAGGAGTCTATAGAATAGTACAGAAGAGAAATCCTGGGGAGGAGTCTATAGAATAGTACAGAGAAATCCCTGGGAGGGGAGGAGTCTATAGAATAGTACAGAGAAGTCTCGGGGAGGGGAGGAGTCTATAGAATAGTACAGAGAAGTCTCAGGGAGGGGGAGGAGTCTATAGAATAGTACAGAGAAGTCTCAGGGAGGGGGAGGAGTCTATAGAATAGTACAGAGAAGTCTCAGGGAGGGGGAGGGGTCTATAGAATAGTACAGAGAAGTCTCAGGGAGGGGGAGGGGTCTATAGAATAGTACAGAGAAATCCCGGGGAGGGGAGGAGTCTATAGAATAGTACAGAGAAGTCTCGGGGAGGGGAGGAGTCTATAGAATAGTACAGAGAAATCCCGGGGAGGGGAGGAGTCTATAGAATAGTACAGAGAAGTCTCAGGGAGGGGAGGAGTCTAGAAGAGAAATCCCGGCCACGAAAACATCTGAAGTTGTAACTTTTTGTTCTGAAGTAAAGTTTTTGTTTGAATTGGGTGCGCAGAGATCTGATTGGCTGGTTGTTTGAGGCTCCGCCCTCATGGTCCTCTTATTGCTCTTTGCAGTTCCACAATGCCAGGCAGTTGGCTGATTGGTGCCTCCATTACATCTGTACCAACTACAACGCCGTGTGCCGCAAGTTCCCCCGCGAGATGAAGTACATGTCACCCGGTGAGTGCGTGTGGAGGGAGGGGGGGGGGTTGTATGTTCCCGTGTCATCCTCGTCCTTCGCTGCCTACCCAATCTCCATGACCCAAGAGGGGCGGGAGCTTCTATGGTACGTCATGCGTAGGGCAGCCCATTCGTGGGGCCACCCATATGCGTGTCCCATGTGGATTCGGCCTAGGAAGTGAGCACAGGAGCCGGATGACATCCATGGAAGTGATGGGGTGCTCCTGTTTAATACTGCAATTGGCAGATACAGTTCCAGGTTTTTTTTTTTTTTTTAAATCCTGGAACTGTATCTGCCAATTGCAGTATTAAACAGAAGCACCCCATCACTTCCATGGATGTCATCCTGATCCTGGCTTCACTTTTTAAGGCGCCAGTCTGAAGTTGAGGCGGGGGTCAAATTTTTGGGTTGATTGTTAAACCCAACTTTTTTTTTTTTTTTTTTAATTATTTAATAAATGTATTAAATTATTTTATAATATTAAAGATGACAAATTAACCTCGTCGTTGCCGGCCGCACGGAAAAAGGTCCCGATCTCTTCTTTCGATCGGGACCTTTCCCGATCACGTGACCTTAAAACCCCGCCCCACCTCCCGGATTCTGAAACCCTTAAAGGGCCGGGAGGTGCCGGCTTCAAGGGGTTAAAATTGTTTAAAAAGAAAAAAAAAAAGGAATTTTTTTTTCAACAATTTTAATTTGTCATCTTTAATATTATAAAATAATTTAAAACCTTTATTAAATAATTTAAAAAAAATAATCCAAGAAGAGTTGGTTTTAAAAATGTACCCAAAAAATTGACCCCCGCCTCAACTTCAGACTGGCGCATTAAAAAGTGAAGACAGGATCAGGGTAACCATCCATGGAAGTGGTGGGGTGCTCCTGTTTAATACTGCAATTGGCAGATACAGTTCCAGGATTTGAAAAATATACTTTTTTTTTTTTTCTTTTAGACAATAATTTGAATTTGCCATCTTTAATATAATAAAATAATTGAATAAATTTGTTAAATAAAAAAAAAAGAGTTGGATTATTATTAAAAAAAATGTATCAAAAAAATTGACCTCTGGCTCAACTCCAGACTGGCCCTAAACAGTGAAGCCAGGAGCAGGAGCACATCCATGGAAGTGGTGGGGTGCTTCTGTTTAATACTGCAATTGGCAGATACAGTTCCAAGATTTAATAAAATCCTTTTTGTTTCTTTTTTCTTTTTTTTTTTTTAAAACATTTTTAATTTGCCATCTTTAATATTTTAAAATAATTTAATACATTTATTATTGCAATTGACAGATAAAGTTCATTTGATTTTTTTTTTTTAAATAAAAAAATTAATAAAAAAAGAGTTGGGCTTAAAAATTTATCAAAAAATGTACCTCTTGCTCCACTCCAGACTGCGGTGGGGTGCTTCTGTCTAATACTGTAATTGGCAGATACAGTTCCAGTATTAAAATATATTTGTAGCCCAGAATTTTAGTTTGCTATCTTTTAATATAAAATAATTTAATACTTGACTTTTTTTTAATTTTATTTTTTTTATTTAATACAAAAAAAAAAAAAAAAAAAAAAGGTAAAAATGCTGTGAAAAAAGTCGCTGACTATTAATAAAAAGACGCTTACCCGTCGAGAGATCCAGAGCTGTCCTCCCCCCCCGGGCCGGTTCTTCTCTGGTCTTCAGGTTTCTGGTGCCGCCATGTTTAACTGTGGAAGCCGGCGATGACTCTGAAGATTTACAGCCGACTCCCCACTTTCTGAATGGACCCGCCCCCGCCTGACACCGTGACGTGTCCCAGGAGGTTGTGGGTAGGGAGAAGGAAGAACTTCCTCTGGGACCGCCGGTGGGAGTGGGTATCTGCCGGTGCATGACCAGTGATGGCTGCCGAAACAAAACACGATGGCCCCCTGCACACCGATCTCCTCCTGCCAATACTCCGCGAATTGCTGCTCCTCTTCTGGCAGCTGAATGTAAACAAACCTGGCCTGGGATCCCCGATGACGTCATTGTCCACATTTGTTTACATCCAGAAGCTGGGTGGGGAGATGTCCCTCAGCGGGACAATTGGAGGACATTTAGATTTTGGACATTTTTTTTAATTTTTCAAATAATTGACTTTATAACTGGTGTGTGTTTTTGTATTGGGTTTTTTTTTTCGCAACCTCGGGTTATGTACCCCTTAAGGGTTCACGGACGCATGCTTTACAGGCCCCCCGGAACCTGTGTGAATGAGCCCCTCTTGTAGGACAGATATCTGGGGGCCTTCACTTGTCCCCTGTAGACCTCCGCATCCACCCGTAGGTCCTCCGCATCCACCCGTAGGTCCTCCGCGTCCACCCGTAGCCCCCGCGTCCGCGTCCACCCGTAGCCCCTCCGCGTCCACCCGTAGCCCCTCCGCGTCCACCCGTAGCCCCTCCGCGTCCACCGGTAGACCTCATCCACCGGGCTAAGGTTGTGGGGAAGCGGCCCTTGTCATTCTCAACATGGGGACAAGTGCTTTGCCGGGGAAGGGGCAGATGTCCTCACCGGCAAGGCCTGTCGCCTCTGCAGGCTTCTCTTCTGGATTCTGAGAGGACCCCTCCGCTGGACAGCCAATAGGAAGTGTCCGTGTCGCACAACCAGCAACATGGACACCCAAAGAAGGTGGAGAGAAGAATCTGGAGCGAAGTGTGGGTGGTTTTAGGTGAGTAAGGGGGCGGAGTTGTGAGGAATAGAGGGAGCCGGGAGATCAGCCCTTAACAGTGATGTGCTCTCTGTCTCCCCAGAAAACAAAAGCCACTTTGAGCGTTTTCGGTGGCCTCCGGTGTGGTACCTGAAAGAGGAAGACCGTTACCTCCGCTGTAAGAAGGAGCGCGAAAAGGAGGAGGAGCTCATCCGCAAGCAGCACAGCAAGAACAAGTGGTGTTTTTGGCGCCCTTCCTCGTCCTCCGTTTCCTGAACCCCTCTTTTCCCGGAGACTCTTCCTGTGCCTTCTGTGGTGGCCGGAGACATAGGACCCTCCTGCCGACAGAAGATAAAACCTTCTCTAGGAGGCCAGAGGTTTCCCCGTTTTTTGACTCCCCTGTGACTGCCTGTGCCAACCCTCCACCCTGAAGACCAGCGAGATGAAGTATTATTGCACTATACTTACAGGCCTGCACTTCTAGGGCGCCACACAGCCCGAGATAACCACTTCCAACCTTCCGGATCTGAGGAGACGGGTGGAGGGGCACTTGGACAGAAATCTCTACAACTATTGATCCACTACAGAGTTCTCGACGATCTAGTTCTGGACTCGCCTATTTTGCTGTCCGTTGAGTGACGCTGTATAACAGAATGCCCCTCTCCCACCTCAGATCTGCTCCGTTCACATGGCAGATCCCAGTCCTGTTCTGGGCTCCTCAGGGGCGGAGCTTAAGAAATGTTGATCTGATGGGGCAGGTGCACAGAGCAGTGTTTTGCGGTCCCTGACGGCAGCAATGCAGTCACATAGATCACAGCGCTTGAAATGTGTGGAGATACTCGGTATCCGTATACACGACCCGTTTACATAGTAACCCAGTATTACGTACAGCTCAGTGTTTTCACCCGAGTGGAGAGACTCGATTATTATGCAGCTTGAAGAGCACTAAGGGCTAGCAGAGGTACTCGGTATCGCTATACAATGCAGCATGCTGACGTGGAAGGGCCCGACGTCCTACGTGGTATAAAGCCCATTGTGTGGTCGTATTTCCGCACCTTGGCGCCTCATGCCTCCAAACCCATGGTGGCAGCTTAGCCGCTTGGACCTCTCGGGAGGCTGTTCATCAAGATCCAACTGGTGTTCTTGGTTTTTTATATCGTGGGAAATACATATTCAGTGCAGGAAAAATGGAAACAGAGTTTTGTTAGGGTGCTGCAGAGGTTCCTCAATTTTTTTTAACTGCTTTTTGACTTTTTTTTTAAAGTACATCTAAAGCCAAAAAGTTTCTCTTAATCGGACAGTCCAGGAAGTCCTAGGCAAGGGGTTCTATGCCGATCCCTTCAGCTGATTGTACATTGGTGGGAACACCTCCCAGTGCACCCCATGTAACTCAGTTAAATAGACTCCAGTTGATGGACCTTTTCTTCAGTTGATGATCCTCTTCTATGGAGGAGTTTTCTAAACCATTCCATCACAGAGCCTCACGAGGACTTCAGTTGATGGACCTTTCTTCCAGTTGAAGGACCTCTTATGTGGAAAAGCTTTCTAAACCATTCTGTAATTTTTTCTTCTCTACTTCATCTCAGAGCCTTACGAGTCTCAGCACTTGAAAGCAGTTTTCAGATTGGATACCCCCTATGTACATGTTGGGAACTTAACCCAGACCGTGCAACAGCGAGGCCAGCCTGGAGGGTTTACTTCGGGCACTGGATCCTGCATTCGGTGCTCACCTTGGCCACCCCTCGATTCATCCCTCTATTTGTCCAGGTGACCACCCCTAGATTCATCCCTCTATTTGTCTCTGTGACCACCACTAGATTCATCCCTCTATTTGTCCCGGTGACCACCCCTAGATTCATCCCTCTATTTGTCCCGGTGACCACCCCTAGATTCATCCCTGTATTTGTCTCTGTGACCACCCCTAGATTCATCCCTGTATTTGTCTCTGTGACCACCCCTAGATTCATCCCTCTATTTGTCCCGGTGACCACAACTAGATTCATCCCTCTATTTGTCCCGGTGACCACAACTAGATTCATCCCACTATTTGTCCCGGTGACCACCCCTAGATTCATCCTTCTATTTGTCCCATTGACCACCCCTAGATTCATCCCTCTATTTGTCCCGGTGACCACCCCTAGATTCATCCCTCTATTTGTCCCGGTGACCACCCCTAGATTTATCCCTCTATTTGTCCCGGTGACCACCCCTAGATTCATCACTCTATTTGTCCCGGTGACCACCCCTAGATTCATCCCACTATTTGTCCCATTGACCACCCCTAGATTCATCCCACTATTTGTCCCATTGACCACCCCTAGATTCATCCCTCTATTTGTCCCGGTGACCACCCCTAGATTCATCCCTCTATTTGTCCCGGTGACCACCCCTAGATTCATCCTTCTATTTGTCCCGGTGACCACCCCTAGATTCATCCCTCTATTTGTCCCGGTGACCACAACTAGATTCATCCCTCTATTTGTCCCGGTGACCACCCCTAGATTCATCCTTCTATTTGTCCCGGTGACCACCTCTAGACTGAACCCCTCTATCTCTATTGGTGGCCACCCCTAGATTCATCCCTCTATCTTTCTGTCCTGGTCGCCACGCCTAGACTGAACCTCTCTATCTCTATTGGTGGCCACCCCTAGATTCATCCCTCTATTTGTCCTAGTGACCACCCCTAGACTGAACATCTCTATCGGTGGCCACCCTTGGATTTACCCCTCTATCTTTCTGTCCCGGTGGCCACTCCTAGATTAAGCCTTCCGTCTGTCCAGGTGACATTGTCCCAAGATTTGAATGGAATGGGAAATTCACAATTTGGAGTTGACGCCAAAACAAGTATAGAGGGGAAATCTTTAATGGGGACACCGGCTCCAGTGACAACTCGTCTTGCTTTGTAGAGATTCCCTCTCACTTCCTGTTGTGTCTGCAGCACAGGAAGTGAAGTCAAGTCTGATAAAATGAGCACAGATTTTTTTTATTTTTATATTTTTTTTTGGCTTTAGATATACTAACATTTTTTTTCAACGTTAATGGAACTAAAGAAAAATGAAGTAAAATCAATTTGGTGATCTTTATGAACAGCCTCCTCAGATTTCTCTGCGCTCTGCTGCCTGTTACATCACTCATGACATCACAGCATCCATCCCTGCATCTTCACCACTGCCTCGTTGTGCCCGTTACATACGTGTTTCTCAGTGTTCAGTGTCCTTGTTACATGATGTGATGATGCATGGAAGTGTGTGCTTTGAGGTATACACATGTGCATTTATTTGGTTCTATATTTTGCATGGACGGGGCCCATTCTGCCTTGCTGTGATGTGGATATGCAGCTTGGAGCCGTTGGTTTGTGAATCGGGTTCCTCTTGGCTTGTAGCATGTGCCAAATCTTCCCACGAGAGCTTCTTTGTAAGCCTTAACCCCGAAAAGGATGAGGAGATCATCTTGTATTGATGAATCATGGTCCTCCGTTGCTTCTCCTCTTTGCCTTCTTGTCATATGACCATAGTCCATTATTCTCATGCACACCCTCCTAGTTACTGGAAACCATCTGCTCTATGCCATCTTCCTCACTGCTCTGGGCGTAAGTCATCATTGGTGTTGAGGAACCATTCGTTGGTCATCTGCCATGAATTGTTGAGGAACCATTCGTTGGTCATCTACCATGAATTGTTGAGGAACCATTCGTTGGTCATCTGCCATGAATTGTTGAGGAACCATTCGTTGGTCATCTACCATGAATTGTTGAGGAACCATTCGTTGGTCATCTGCCGTGAATTGTTGAGGAACCTTCCATTGGTCATCTACCTTGCATAGTGGCTGCATGTGGTCGTTTTTAGGTTGTACTGTCAAATCTAGATGACTTCTCTGTATAACGATACCTGGTATAAGTGTGTAGGGTCAGATATGTTTACACTTCACTGGCTTCAGGATTTTTTTTTTTATAGAGAAGTTTTCAGGAGGCAACCGTTGTCAGATGATTGCACGGAGAGGACCTAACCTGCATTTTCAGCAGCATGGAGTAGTTGAGACCCAACCTCGGCTGTCAGCAGTGATTGCATGAAGTAATGGAGACTCAACCTCAGCTGTCGGCATTGATTGGATGAAGTAATGGAGAACCGACCACAGCTGTTCGCAGTGATTGCATGGAGTGGGGGGGGGGTGTGGTAAAGACCCAACCTCCATTTTCCGCATGGAGGAGTGGAGACCCAACCTTGGCTGTAAGCAGTGATTGCATGAAGTAATAGAGGCTCAACCTCCGCTGTCAGCAGTGATTGCATGGTGGAGTGGAGACCTGACCAAAGCAAGGCTACTCTGTCCATAAGTAGCTTGTGGAGCTCTTTATCTCCTCTCTCACTGAGTACCGTTGCCTTATTGCATGCACAAATGTGATGGCTTCATGCTTACTGGAGGTTTAGCCTTGCAGAACTGTAATATTTCATGAGCAGGACTTTATTGACTACCCTTGGATCTCCAGCCTTTTCGTGTGGAGAACATTTCCTTCAGTGGATAAGTGGGCACAGTGTTGTAGCAGAGAGAGGTTGTGGTTCAGTAGCAGGTTGTGGCCTTTTGGGTTTTTTGCTCTCCTTTTTTTTTAGAGATCTGGCCTCACCTGCGGGAAATGAAAGGGTTTGCTGCATGACCTCCACCTGCTCTCCTAAACTCTGGTCTCAGCTGGGGGAGAGACTTTGGTTCAGTGCATGCTGTGGCTTTTTTTTTTCTTTTTCTCTAAGTTTGGTCTCACGTGAAGGACAAGATTTGGAATGGTGCATGCCGTGGCCTTCGACGCTCTCTCCAGGGGGCTAAACCTCTCTGCACAGAAGGGAAATCTTTTCTAGAATGCTGTTGTTGTTGCATCTTTTGCTATACTGCCTCAATCCTTCACCCGAGCTGCCAAGACACCAGCTATGGTCCTTCTCCCGGTCACAGGGGAGAGGTACAGTCACCTCTCCATGGAAGACCGCTCTCTCACATGTTTACAGCACAAAACCCGTCCTGCAAAAAAAAAAAAAAGAGAAAATCCTGCAACACGACCTTTGTGCCTTTTCCAACCCGACAGAACTGGACAAATGATCTCGTTTCCTTCTGATGCACACTCCTCTTGCTCCTTCGCCACCCTCTCACAATACTTTATTGGTTATTTGTGGTTCATTTGTTTTTATATATTTTTTATTTCCTATAAGCTCATATAAGGGAACATTGTGTGCCTTTTTGTAGTGGGTGTGAAAAATGAAATGAGGTGATTTTGTTGCAATGAAGCAGCCTAGTTG